GGAATATCAATACACAAACCACTGTCACTAGCATATACAATGATGTCTTTAATTATTTACAACATAAGTTATGTTTATAATTACACAACGTGACCAAGCATCACTGATACTGACAGTCGACTCTTTCAAAGCAGCTTGATTCAAAATCAGTCCTATTAACCATATCACAAGACTGACTAAAATGTAAAAGTGGGCCTATTTATAGCATTCTCCAATTTTAATAACCAACGGTTCACAATTCCTCCAAAAATAACCACCCTGCACTGGCAGGACAAAGCAAGTGAACTGAAAGGCTTTTGTCAGCATTTTTTCTCGGGTCCCAGCGGGCGGCTCGTGGTCTCGCTGCCTGATGAGACTCGCTCCTCGACCCGCTGCTCCTGAACTGGCTCTTATTGGACTCAGGCAGCTCTAGAAACCCCACAGGCCAGCTAACGCTCCCCAAAATAGAGCTTTTCATGTGTAGCAGCACCTGCACTGATTGCCTCTGAATGGGCTGCTCAGCTCAGATGAAATGACTGATTTTGGCGCATCTGGACACATCAGCACCCCTTTCCTGTTTTCTTTCAGAGTGACACCATGCTACACTGCTTTTATCTGCAATGCATTCATTTTCAGTTCGAACTATGTGTTGATGGTTGAAAGCTCCAAAAACGTATTTCTTTCCAACGCCCCTCAATATTCCCCGAAGAAATGACTTGGTATATTATTCATTCATTGATCAAGGTGCACGGCACGTTCACGTTTTGTCACTCTTTTGGGATCCTTATGCTAGAGAGATACAGTTTGGGTGTCATTATGTGCTTTTTCCCTTTTACTTTGATTCAGATAATATGGTGACCCATACAGAAAATCTCAAGTTGATGTCCATATGGCAGAAATGTACGGTAAAAATCAAGCAGTTAGTTAATGGCATGTAATGCAAAATTTGATAGTTTTGTATGTTATCTGAGGGTTGGCATAATCTGAGGTCCTAGAAGGTAATAGAGAAAAATTTGCATAGCTGCTGTTCCAACTAAGCAAAAAATGATGTGTTCAACCCAAGCAAAAGAATGAAAATGTGCATTTGATCAGATGTACTGAAGTACAAGGTTATGAGATACATTATGTGAATGCTTGGCTAAAGAGATGTCTTTCATCTAGATTTAAGCAGAGAGAGTGTGTTTGAGCCCTGAACGTTATCAGGAAGGCTTTTCCAGAGTTTGGGAGCCAAATGAGAACAACCTCTACCTCCTTTAATGGACTTTGCTAGGAACTATCAAGAGTCCAGAGTTTTGTGACCGTAGGGAGCATGATGGATTGTAGCGTGGTAAATAGCAGAGGGCCTAGGACAGATCCTTGTGGCACTCCATACTTTACTGGATTTAATTGAGATGATTCCCCGTTTAAATAGACAAAGTGAATGCGATTGAACAGGTAGGATCGTCTCGGTTACGTATGTAACCCTCGTTCCCTGAAGGAGGGAGCAGAGACGTCACGTCGGTGACCGACGAATTGGGAAGAGATGCAGCCTTGGTCTGATGCAAGAAGCAAGTCATTTGTAATTTTAACAAGTGCAGTTTCTGTGCTATGAATGGGCCTGAAACCCGACTGAAATTCTTCATAGAGATCTTTTTTTTGCAGGAAGGAGCACAATTGAGCAGACACAAATTTTTCTAAAATTTTAGACATAAACGGAAGATTTTAAATGGGTCTGTAATTTGCCTGTTCACTAGGATCTAGTTGTGGTTTCTTAATAAGAGGCTTAATAACAGCCAGCTTGAATGGGACGTGACCTAAAGACAACGACGAGTTAATAATATTGAGAAGCGGTTCTTCTGCTACAGGTAACAACTCTTTCAGTAATTTAGTGGGTACAGGATCTAACAGGCATGAACATGTGTGAACATATAACACATTTGAATAAACTTCAGCAAGGAACAATTTAAAATGCTCCAAAAAAAATAAAAACAATATTGCAATATATAAATGATTAAGCATTATTAAATCATGATAAATCTGCTTTTAAACTCTAGTAGGCCATCCACATTTGTATTTAACCTAAATGTAGGGTACTGTAAGACATTTAGATGTAAATACATTTAGAAATATATTTTGGTATATGAAGGTTGAAACTAAATATATTTTCTATTTCAAAAATATATTTTATTTAACCTCACTGTTTGGAACATACATTTCAAATGTATTTTGGCCACAATTTTTTTTTCCATATGGTGATGCTCACTTTTCTTGCTCGCAGTCTAATATTAATCCCTGTAATTTCTACTCATTGAATATTCTGTTTCTCTCTGAATTATAAAAAAGGCACAAAAGCTGTCACTGGAACAGTAGCCTTTCAAAAGGTACTAATTTGTACCAATTTGGTACTAATATGTACACTTCAGGTACTAATAAGTAACTTTAAGCTATTAATATGCAACGTTAAGGCGTAAACAAGGCACAAAGGTGTATCTTTTGAAAAGGTACCACCACAGTGACAGCATTTGTACCTTTTTTTCTGAGAGTGCATCAAATATATATTATTTTATGTATATGAAATATGTATAATAACACTGGTAATAATATTTAATTCTTGTGCAATTAGAGCAAGATGTTTTAAAATAAAATCATCCTAATGAACAGAAACTTCTTAATTTCTATCTTAGATTCTGACCAGGTTTGAGGTTTATAAAAGAGTAGAAGGACGGGAAAGGAGGACAGAGGGCCGTGACGCACACTGGACTCAAACCCACGTCCCTGTGAGCCGCTCCGGAGCATCAGCAGTGACTCACATACCGGATCATAATGACTCTGCCCTGACTTCTGCTCACATAAACCACTTCACAAAATAAAGCCAACACAAATTATAACAGCAAATTCACTTGAAATACAGCAGACAATTTGTAGTTCTAATGTTTGAGCTTTTACAGAAATTTCTCACCACAGCATGCAAAGTTAGAGATGCTGTTTATATACATGAATTAATGTTATAAGATTTGCAAAGAAGTGAATGTTTTTTTTTTAAATATGTTGTTTCATTCTAGAACAGAATTTAAAAGTGAATTAAAAAAAAATATGTATTTAATCAAATCATTCTTTTAAGAATATTCAGAATCTATTTTGAAGGATTTGTCAAGGCAATAAAAGAATAATTTAGAAGAGATTGAAAGTAATACGAAACGTAAACGTTTTTTTTGTACTTTTTTGTACTTGTAGTTGTACTTTGTTCAATCACAGTCAAATACAGTGCAAAAAGAACAAGGCAAATATAAAGTAAGGTTGTACAGTTCAAAATAAATAAAACAATGAATAAGAACAACAAATATACAAAGTGAACATATGTAAAAATAAACAAACAAACAATAATTGGGCAGTTACATAAATTTAGGAAAAAACGTATAATTTCTATTTATTTATTTCCCATGTTTGTGTTAAGATCATTATTATATTTACAGTTATTCTGGTCTTAAATAATATAAGATTAATTTTGCTTTTCAGAAAAACATGGGTCTTGTAAATCAAGTAAAATGTCATAATGCAGCATAAAAATAAGTGACGGACACTAGGTGTAAAAATAATAAATGAAATAAGACACAAAGGTAGTTTATGACAATAGCATTAAAAAGATTAAAATGTATACAATAGAAAAACAACAACAATAAATAAAACTAAACAGAAAATGGACATGAATAATGATTCATAAAGGCTAAATAAACAAACAAGCATAAAATCATAAGATTTAGGGATTCAGTATAGCAATTATAAGACATTACACAAAAGCCAAACTATTATTATTATTATTATTTTTAGATTAAAACACGTTCTGTAGACGTGTGCTTTCAATTTATTAAAGGGGTCATAATAAATAAAACAATGAATAAGAACAACAAATATACAAAGTGAACATATGTAAAAATAAACAAACAAACAATAATTGGGCAGTTACATAAATTTAGGAAAAAACGTATAATTTCTATTTATTTATTTCCCATGTTTGTGTTAAGATCATTATTATATTTACAGTTATTCTGGTCTTAAATAATATAAGATTAATTTTGCTTTTCAGAAAAACATGGGTCTTGTAAATCAAGTAAAATGTCATAATGCAGCATAAAAATAAGTGACGGACACTAGGTGTAAAAATAATAAATGAAATAAGACACAAAGGTAGTTTATGACAATAGCATTAAAAAGATTAAAATGTATACAATAGAAAAACAACAACAATAAATAAAACTAAACAGAAAATGGACATGAATAATGATTCATAAAGGCTAAATAAACAAACAAGCATAAAATCATAAGATTTAGGGATTCAGTATAGCAATTATAAGACATTACACAAAAGCCAAACTATTATTATTATTATTTTTAGATTAAAACACGTTCTGTAGACGTGTGCTTTCAATTTATTAAAGGGGCCATATGATGCGATTTCAATTTTTCCTTTCTCTTTGGAGTGTTACAAGCTCTTGGTGCATAAAGAAGATCTGTAAAGTTGCAAAGACTAAAGTCTCAAATCCAAAGAGATATTCTTTATAAAAGTTAAGACTTGTCCACACCCTCCTAAAACGGCTCGTTTAAACACGCCCCCACATGTCTACATCACTGTGTGGGAAGATTTGCATAACACCGCCCAAATGTTCACGCAAAGAAAGAAGGCGCAATACGCAACGCATGGATGCAACAAATGCCTCGTTTGTAATGGGTTATATTGGTTTTGTCTGGTCGTGCCGGGACATGGCATCTCAGTGTGTTAAGGGGCGTAACATTTCCGTCACACGCTTGAGGTATTCAGCCAATCACAACGCACTGGATAGCTGACCAATCAGAGCACACCTCGCTTTTCAGACCGATGAGCTTTGTAAAAATCGACACGTTTCAGAAAGGCGGGGCATAGAGGAGCAACAATAATGTACATTATGTGGAAAATAATGTGTTAAAACCGCATAAACACATTGCATTACACCAAATACACAACATAGCTAATGTTCTTTTTAGCAGCATCATATGACCCCTTTAAGAGATAAACAGATTCTGAGCCCAGAGTGTACAAGACCAATTACAATTCGTTATGCAAATAAATAGGCTACAAGAAAGAAAGAAGACCAATCGGAATTCAGTATGTAACAAAAAAAGGTCCAATACGAATTCGGCATGAGGAATATTAATACAGTGTTGCCTTGCGAGTGAACTAATAAACTGTCATAAAACAAAACCAAACCAAACAAAAAATCCCTACAGAAGAAGAGTGATTTGAAGTCGTAGTCCAGTGTTTTAATGACCGGTAGAAACTCAATTTCCCACAGTTCCAGGCGACTTAAGTAGGTCGAAGGTAAACTGTCATGTCCGCTGTGTTGGTAACTTTAGCAAGTTCCTCAGCTGGTTTACGTTACAGTGAATGCTGGTGGCATGCTGCTGAAAGAGAGCAGACTGTGTGTTTGAAACACGGTCATTTCATGAGCGACGCAAATCCCGCGCTGGATTGCTGTGGAGGCTTGAATAACGTGGATTACAGTCAGGTCAGGAAGAGCAGCTTTTAGTTCGCCTCTCTGCTCATGCGTGTGCAAGCCAGTGCTCATTTAATCCCCATCGTTATTGTGTCGTAGTATTGTTCAATGCACTTGTTTGCACAATTCATATTGAGAAATATTTACAAACGTGCGTTTAATTATTTCATGCACGCGAGCGCTGATGTTACACGTGCTGTCGTCGGGTTTACAGACTCGTTGCAATCTGATCATCTACAATAATATGAGGAGCTGTTGACAAAATTAATTCATGTAAACTGAAGGTTTGCACAATTATATTTGAAATGCATTAGCACGAGGATCTGGAGTGCTTACAGTGACTGATGGGGAGCCTAGGTTCATTTTTATGCCTGGACATAATTATTATAATTAATAATTACCATGTCCAAGCACGAATAATAATGAAAATAAAATATTACAAATGCATTTCAAACATGCAGTTAATTTATTATTTCTCTTTTGTGATGGCTGTGTGTGTGTATGATATATATATATATATATATAATGAATGTAAATTTATTTTTCTGAGGCATAAATATATATGATCATCTTTAGATGATAATGACAAAAAAACAAATAAACAAAAAAATTAAAGGCAGAAATTCTTAAAGAAAATAAAAAATATATATATTTTTTCAAAATAACTTCTTTGTGCATTTTATTATTATTATTATTGTTTTATTTAAATATAAAAAATATGTGAATGTTTAAAAAGTAGCCTAATGTTTTTGTTCATCACAAACCAAAAACATGCAAATAAAGACTGAAAGAAACAAACTTCTCAGAGAGAAATAGAGTATGATTAAGTGAGTAACTATTTTGAATAAAAGAGCAAAATTAAGCAAGATGCACAGCAGGCCATGGCATGCTATTTCATTTAATGTCTTTTTAACGTAATAATAACCCAGAATTACATTTGTTTGCATATTCGCAGATATTCATATATCTGAATAAATCCCATTTAAACACACCTGAACCAGATCTTCAGGATTTCTAGAAACTTCCAAACAGGTGAAAGTTAGAGCAGGTATATGCCAGATCTCAAGAAATCAGAATATGCTTAATCTGGTTATGGCAGTCAGGTTAATTGTGTTGCATTACTCTTACGTAATCAGAACATGAGCGTTTTTTTGTGCATGTAAACGCAGTCAGTGGGCTTTTGAGATGTTGGCCTATCTAATATGTGTTAGTGAGACTATGAAGTGTAGAGCGCCTAGTGCAAAACCAGCCCCCCTTTCCACAAACAAAGAGCTTCAAACAGTAAGTGTTTTAAAAGCTGCTTTGTTTCTTTCTAATGCCCTGTTGTACTCAGTGGCATCAATAAATCACAGTTTGTTGCGTAATACTAGAATCCCCAGAGGATAAAATGGTATGGTTGCGACAAAACAAAGTCTTCTGCATAAACACATGTGTGTCTGATTAATTGGATTAAACTGCATGTCGTGTGACCACATCAAAAACAGTGACCTTGTTGCTGTTTTATTGAACTTGACATGATCAGATGTTCATATGTTTTGCTCAGTCAGCATGTTATGATTGTACTATCAGTAATGGATGATCAGCTGTAAAGGTGCATTATGCAACTTTGGCTTCTCTGTCACCATCTGTGGTTGAAAGATAAAGGCTTTTTTTAAAGTGATGTGTGTAATTTTTCTGATGCTATATTTTCAATCATGTCACCGTCTATCCTAGTTTAATGTACAGAGACAGCTAAGCTTATTGTAGGTTGAGTGTAAACTGACTGTGACTCTGTAGTGCTTTGTTTGAATGGTTATACAACAGCCTCTCGCTCAACAGTTCAAAACAAAGCAGAATCTACAGTTCTGCTCATGCATTTCTAGTTTATCTGCCACTAAATGTCTCAAGCAAAGCTATAAGTATCTTGGGAATGGGAAAGGGATGGATATAGTGTAATGTGCTGCAGTGAGGACGTAGACCAACCTATAAGTTAGCATCGCTTCCCTCATCAGAAGGCCAATAGGATTTTGGATTATTGCTGAAAATAAGCTCTGTGACCAATACGAAATGTATGATTCTTACACTTTTTTTTTTTTTTTTTGCTAAGATAATGTTTACACATGAGCAACTTTAAGGCTAAATGCATTGTAAAAATCGAAATTAATCATGGTCACACGACACCACTAAGCTTCTGAGATATGCTTATTTAATCTTTATTTAAAATCAGAAAGTTGGAAAGTTAGAGCTAAATGTGCAAGTGCCACATTTACTGCAGTTCAGTGAATTTTTGTGGGCAAAATCCAGTCATTTCAATAGGAATCCATGCAGTTGGGGATTTTTCGCATGCAGAATTTGAGACTTTGAAAATTCACAGCATTCTAACTCACAAAACGCTGACTGTTTGGCCTTTGAAATGCTGTTTAAGCAAACTAGTGAGCAGGCAGACCTTATTTCAGGCATTTAACCACAAACCCATAAAAAGACCTATTGAGTATATGAGACAAAGGAGCTAGAAGTGCTAAAATGCTCCTAAGGGCCAGATTTTTCAAACAGGGCAAATCAGCGTAAGACCGCAATCCCATAAAGTCGCCGATGGGAGTGTAAAGTTCTGCTGATTTACTGACAGTATGCAAATTAAAGAACACAGACACAGATCATTTCCATAATGACCTGTGACACTTTTTTTTCAGGATTTTTTGATGAATAAAAAGTAAAGAAAAAAAAGAACAACATTTATTTAAAATATAAATCTTTTGTAACAATAACTTTCAAAGGTTTGGGTCAGTATTTATCTTTTTCTTTTTAAAGAAATAATTTTTTTTTTTTAGCAAGGATGTCTTAGATTGATACAAATTATAGTAAAGACTTGTGTTGTTATAAAAGATTTCTATTATGAACAAATGCTGAAATTTTTTGTTCATCAAAGAATCCTGAAAAAAGTATCACAGGTTCCAAAATATATTCAGCAGCACAACTGTTTTCAACATTGATAATAATCAGAAATGTTTCTTGAGCAGCAAATCAGCATATTAGAATGATTTCTGAAGATCATGTGACACTGAAGACTGAAGTAATGATGCTGAAAATTCAGCTTTGATCACAGGAATAAATTATATTTTAAAGTAGGCCTATATTAAAACAGTTATTTTAAATTGTAATAGTATTTCACAGTATTACTGTTTTTTTTTCTCTGCTTTTAATCAGGTAAATGCAGCCTTGATGAGCAGAAAAAACATCTTGCTGATCCCAAACTTTTGAATGGCAGCGTATATATAACTGGTCTGAACAAAAACAGCAGATAGACTGAATGGAAATGCAAATTAACTATAAACTATTATTAGGCATCATATGGGGGTAAAATAATGCAAAAATGCCATTGAAGACTGTCAGTTCCCTTCACATATGCTGTACATTCACATAAACCCAATAAATCTCCCTTGAATCATTAAAATTAAATGTAAAAACGTGAATCACATGATTGGAATATTTCAGCGTCACAATGGCAAATTTCACCTAAAGGTGACATGTTTTTTACTGAGCATATATGTTTATGCATGTTCTGTGTTTTACCGAAAATATCATGCAGATGAGAGCTTACACACTTCTGTTGTGTTTTGTCGTCTCTTTTTGTCCTCAGATGGACATGTCCGTGTTGGCAGAGCTGTGGAGGTTAATAGACCTGTCGGAGCCCCGGTTCTGCGTGGCTGTTATTGCCATCATCTTCAATCCGTTCTTCTGGAATGTGGTGAGTCACTGTATCTGCGTCTCTTCAGCTTTAAGGCTTGTGTTTATGAAGCCTTCCATGATCTGTGTGTTTCTTGTTGGCTCACGTAATGCGGTTACGTGAGCAGCTCTTTCTTGCATAACATTCGTAAACATTACTCCGATTTCTGCCGTCCTCCCGCAGTCTCGATTTTAAAAACATTTGCAAACCATTGAGAACGCTGAATGTTCCTGCTGATTGCTCTTGTTTGAAACAGAAAAGCGCAGGCCTGGGAAGAGCTGATGTTGCAAAGCTGCTCTATTATGATCATGTAAGTGAGTGACGTTGTAGCACAGATGTGTTTTTAAGGTGTAAACGAGAGAGTGTTTATATTTTGTCTTTTATCTCGGCTGTTCTGATAATAGATATTCAGTTTTCACTTTGGCTGTAATTGAAGGATTTGCATATATCCCTGAGAAACACATCCGATAGGTGGGCCGGTGGACATGACACAGCCTTATTATAATTACTTAACACCGACTAGTCCTGCAGACAACCTACCAACTAGTTAATTAAGAACATTTATAGTTTTGCACATCCCTAAAAGGAAGAACCACATGAAATCATTCGATATGCAGATTTCTTTCCTGTGTTAATGCATTTTCTTCTGAAACATGAGTTTGGGTTACATGACAGCAATCAACCAGGATTTGCTGCTTAATAATTGGCGGGATTGTGGGTGGGAGGGGCTTTCTCATTTTACAGAGCATTCGATTGGCTGCAAATCTAGTGCAGGATGAGTCATCAGCAGTTTTGGAAAGTTTTTACAGAAGAGAGAGAAAAATAACTTTTTAATTGTATTTGTTAAAAGTTAATTGGTAACAGTTTATGAAAAGGTTCCATTTGTTAGCATTCATTTACATGAACTAACAATGAAAAATGCTTCTGAAACATGATTAATTTTAGTTAATTTTAATTAACCTATCTGTTTATATTGTTAACACTCTACAATAAGGTTTCATTTGTTAACATTACTTAAAAAAAAAGTTGTATCTGTTACTATTATTGGTAACACTTTACAATAGAGTTTTGTTTTTTGTTAATATAACACTATAAAAAAAAATGTTTTTGTGAATAAATTTGTAAATAAAACGATTACGGAGTATGTTTTACAATAAAATGCCATTACAGTTTTTCTACTTCGAAACTTGTTGTTTCTTTGTAATTGTGAAATTTACTAGAGTGAAAACTCATTCTACACTAAATTGTACACTAATAAACACAAAATAGCAATGAACAATAATTTTACAGCATTTGATAATCTTAGATAATGTTAATTTCAACATTAACTAATACATTTTTACATCAAAAGTTGTATCTGTTAACACTAGGTAACACACTGTGAACTACCATGAATATGTATTTTTATGAATATTTATTTATATTGCTCATTATTAGTTCATTTTATTTAATGCATTAATTTTAACGAATGGGACATTATTGTAAGTGTCACCATGTTATTTAATTGACCTGAGCTCATATGAACTAATTATGAACTGTATTATTATTAACTAACCTTAAAAAAAATTAATAAATGCTGTAACAAATGTATTGCTCATTGTTAGTTGATGTTAGGTAATGCATTAAACTAATGGGACCTTATTGTAAAGTGTTACCAGTTGTTTATTCAAATCGTTGATCTCTAATGATTAGACTTGTGCCGGTATTCGGTAATGAATATGCACGATATTGTTATCGTGGGCACTTCTAAATACCGTGAATAATTATATATTGCAAATTATTCAGAATTTAATGCATTTTAAGAATACTTCTCCCATCAACTGGTCAAAATCCACAACACGGCTGTATGCTGCGTGAAAGACGCGTGCGCACTCTGATGTAAACAAGCGTGGACGAGAAGCACATGGCGGAACATGTGAGAGACGCTCTGGATGAAAGCGCACTTTCACTCTCTGACAGCAGATGGCGCTAAACTGCAGAAATAATAATAATAATAATAATTAATTTAAATGCAGCCGTTACCCCGGAAACCCTGTAAACAAATCAGCTGCACTACTTTCTGTTTCTGAATCGTGTTTAAATGATTTAAACAGCCATTCAGATTTGTGTATTTGCTATGATGTTCATCACAGCGCCAAATACTTACATATTTAGACTTAATAGGCTATTTATTTTCAAACTTTTTTTACATTTTAATCTGGACTACATGCATTAACTAAGGTTAACTAATGAGGTCTTATTGTAAAGGGATACCTATTGGTCTTTATAGTTCTTTTGCACTTTAATCTGTGTCAAACTTTTAACTTTATACATTTTTCTGTATTGCTTTATTGCATTTAAATGTTCAGTTATTTTTGTTATAAGAAAAAAGTTATTAAACCTGTTATACTGTATTATGACAGCACTTTTTTAAAACTAAATTTCAATATCGTGACAATACCGTATACTGTGATAAAAGCATTAGCAATTAATCGCAACATGAAAATATGATACCGGCATATCCCTACTAATGATAATGATGACTTAATGAGGTCTTTAAAAGCAGTTTATACTGTACGTTGTTTGTAATGTTAACCCAGAGTAATCCATCTTACTACATTAGAACATGATCTTGCACATTTCTATTCATAATTCACACTTCAAGCACCTTACGATTAGCTATTTTTGGGTATATTTGCATCACGTCCCATTAACGCATCATATGTCAGAGATTTCCCTTCCTCTGCTTCACTATATCTGTGAAGTGAGTATATTATCTGTGAATATGAAGTCATCCTTCATGCTGAGCTGGGCTGTGAATGTGGATAATTCAGATCTGTATGCCATTGTCTGGCAGGAACATGGGATTCGGCTAATCTTTAAGCTGCTGATGATCAGAATCAGTCTCTCAGTGTGGCGTCTTTGTCCCGTTCCCAGGTGGATCAGCTTTACAGACACACTTGCTTCCCGTTGTTTTGTTGTCAGCCTGCGTGGAGGTCCTGCTGCTGTTTTCAAAATCAGATCCGGGATCTGGTTGAGATTGATGTAGGACAAGTGGTTAGGTTTGGGTGGGTTAGCATGACCTAGTTATCCTCTCATGGTAGAAACTGGAACAAGTGGAAACTTTCAAAGGAATATTCAAGGTTCAATGCAAGTTAATCTCAATTGATAGCACTTGTGGGATAATGGTGATTACCTCAAATGACTGTAATTTCAATTTAGCCCTGGTGAGGCACTTACAATGGAAGTGAATGGGTCCAATACTGTAATAGTAGGCACAAGAAGTTACTATATATATATATATATATATATATATATATATATACATTTTAGGGCTGCACACTCCCTGTGCAAGCAGGTGGTGACGTTGGTTATGTTGACGGAAGTTAGCCTATTTTCAGGCGCTGCATCCATGGCGCTTTGGTAGGGATCCCACTCGAAGTGGATTGGTCTCTCGTCTCCGTTCCCTCCTTCAGGGAACGAGGGTTACATAGGGCTGTGCAATTAATCGCATGCGATTGTCAGGCGCATCTTGTCAGTAAAGCCGGTCCCGTGATTAGTAGTAAATCTCCATCACCTGGTGATGGAGATTTACTACTAATCACGGGACCGGCTTTACTGACGAGATGCGCATGACAATCGCATGCGATTAATTGCACAGCCCTAGTGCTGATCTATCCTTGAGTTTTAACTTTGTAACAAAACCTGCCTTGAATTGTCCCTCATTCAGAAAGCAGTCTGAAGTAAAATGTATGGCAAGCCGTTTTGACTTGTATTCTTTCACAGGATATGAATTCTTGCTATAAACAATTCAATTTTCACTAGTTAAAATGCTAATTCTTGATATCAGGAATTGGATTTCTACTAGTAACAGTGGCTATTTTTGATAGCTGTCTCGTATTTTCTTGATGACCGTGAAAAGAACTAAAAATACTTTGTCATTTTTGATCGTACAGATAAGAATAAAGTATTGTTTGAAACTGCAAAGGATCTACTTTTATTTGTGTATAGCCATAATAACAACAAAACAATGTGCTTTTGTAAAATAAAGAAAATAAACAGTTCTCTGCCATCTGCGTTCTCTGTCACCTCTCTTACAGAACTTTCATTTCTTTGTAAGTGGGCAAACTTACAAAATCAGCAGGGGATCAAATAAATATTTTCCCCACTGTATGGCTCTGTGAAGTAAATGCTGCTCCATCTGAAAGCACGTGAAAATACCACATTTAATAACATGTTTTTACTCCAAACTCACTTCATAACGTCAGTCGAGTGTTTGAAATAAATCCTTCTGTGAGATGATGTGGCTTCTTACAAAGAATAGGCACGCAACATATTTCATAGTATTCTAAGCAGTGATAAAGGCTAAGTCAATTAGCATTGCATTATTATATACTTTATTATAATGAAAATTATAATAATAATAATTATAATAAGAACTCCGATAAATCATATATTGTCGTAGTCCTGTGTTTATGAGTCACGTTGAATGAATGAAAGCAGTTAAATCTTCTGTTTATTCAGCTATAGAGATCTCTTGGGTTTCTTCTGCTGTGTGTATTTGGAGTTTCCACGCGAGAGCGCCCTTGGGCCTTCGGATGAAGATTTACTACTGATCACAGAACCGTGCTTCACTGAAAGATATGTATGACAATCACAACTTCTGTCTAATCGCGATTGCGATTTCATTTTGATTTATCGTGCAGCCCTACTTGAGAGAAGCTCTAAATGAGCTGCAGTACAGCACAACTGAACCTAATGTGCGAGGGATTTTGCTTATGTGGACAAACATGGACGCACGGGTTCATTTTCCTGCTCCGCACTGAGGGAACAGGCTGTTTGGCGGTGTTGTGTGTGTGAAGGGGATCAAGATGTCCTCTCCTTTAACCTGACCTTTCCATCTCACACAGATCCTGCCTGAGCTTAGCATTCACTCCTGCATGATGTTCACTCACTGCACAGAAAACACGCAGCGAGGCCTGCGCAGATCATTGCATAACCACCTGATTACAATCATTTCACTTAATTAGGATTATTGTGCA